CCAACAGTCCAAAACTTGGACCTTCGCTCTGAAGCACTCACTACTAAAGTCTTTACATGTCCTTACACCTCCCAAGCCCGTGGTGGTAGTGTCGTCCTGTGCATTGTATTGAGCCCAAGGACCATGAAGGAAAGAGGCAGTGTTTATTTATGGAACATGGAACAACATCGAGAGTAAGACGTAAGAGGTGGCAGTGTAGCAACTGAAGAGAGTTGATACGGTTAAGTGGCCTCTGTGTGTGTGCTTGTGTTGTTCACTCTTCATTTGTTCCTTCCTCTTATATCTATCTAATAACAGACAATGTTGCATGTTATAGCCGACCAGCGAAGCTGATCGAAAGATAGTTAACTCGTTTCTTGGAAATAAAGATAATCTGCTGAGGAATACATTGATTCTCAATTGAGACAACTAGATGCACAACAAAAGTCATTTGAAACATTCAAACTAATCAATCATGTTGGCTAGGCAGTGATACAATCTTCTCTCCAAGTTTAGATTATAAGCAATAAAAAAGAACTAAGCTCATGTAACCAAGTGTAACTCTCAGCATCTCGAAAAATAAAAAAAGGGTCACTCTCAGAGTAATAAATCATGTCACGACGAACCTATAGCATTGTTTCACTATTTATGACCACCAAGATTATTACGTTCGAATTCACACCTGATATGATGCGAGGTGTTTTTGGACGTGAGCACGAAGCAGAGCAGAACAAACTTAACAATTCCAACAAAAGAATGGATACGCATGGGATATGCTGCAATCTGTTGACATGCTGTACTGTAGGCATCAAATTCGGCACTTACCCTCAAGATACGATCTCTTGCATCTGTTAATCCTCAAGAACAGTATACGTTAAATAAATTTCTATGCTTGAGTAAAACTGTGATCTTTAGGGGACTCCGTACACGAATTGTTTGGATGCTTTCTCCGCCACCGAGAACAGAGAGAGTTTCTTCTGTACCCACAGCAGTGGCGGAGCTACGGCAAGGCCGAATTGGCCGTGGCCCGCCCAGCCCATGCGATGTTCCTGCAGTATATACGTATTTTCGGCCAATGAAACACAACCCCTAGAGTAATTTCCTACAGCCGGCCCGCCCAGATTTCTGGACCAAGCTCCGCCACTGACCCACAGGACCATCATCTGTCGCATCGCCTCCAGTAATGTTGGTTACTGAATTCTCCTGAAACATAAAATGATTTCAGTGTCAGAAAGGAAGGATTCAAATGTTTGTGTAGGCAAAGTGTGCAAGGCTATGGACTCACATGGTACAAGACAGAGCCTACAAAAATTGTACAAGACAGATTCGTCTAGCAATGTTAGAAGACAGATTCGTTTAGCAATGTTTAGAAGACACTTGTTACAACGATACCTCATAGTGCCATAGTGGTCAGGATTACAAAGCATTATTGCCGCAACATTTTAGTGGAGAGAAGCTTTAGCCCAAGATACTGTGAATGCACATATCATTTAATCGGACTAAAATACTGAATCCGTGTATACAATCTGCAACTGAACACTTGTATTATGAGCTATATGCAAATCAGTGTTAGTGTAACTAGACTTAGAATTAACTAAGAAACAGCTGACTACACTTGCAAAATACAAACCTGATGGCAGATATTCAGATCTATGCTATAATTCATTGCTCCCAAGTAACCCAAGAGCAGACAATACAGGGACCAAACCGTCTGAATTAATTTACTTATAGTAGTATTTTAAGGCAAGTGCTCACCTTGTTGCTTAGCAAAGTAGAAGGCCACGCCATGATGTAGGGATGGATATCATTGTGAAATGTATGATTGAAGAATTCGTTTACATTCTCTGTTTCCAGGCAGAAAGACAGGAAGAACTTGGTAAGCCTACCAAAATCAATACACAGGAACACAAATCCATCGATTACCACCGCAACCTGCACCGTGATGACATCGTACTCTGCTGAGCACGTCGTGAGGTCAATAAACGTATTCAGTGGGAAAACCTTGTGCTGCATCCACTTTTCAACACCATCACCATCGGCTCTCCAAATCCAAACCGCGATCATTGTTTTGTCTGCACCAAAGCCATCTACGCAAACCATGCAAAGCTTCCCATCATTGGTCCGGCCAAGTTCAAATTGCGTGGAGTCTTTATCTTTCAAGGGCTGCGGCAAATCCATTCGAGATAATTGCAGCGTCACAGTGTTGAGCACGACAATATACCCTGTATTTTTGTCTTTCCAGTAGGCTAATCTATCAATTCATCCATCACAGTATTAGCTGTGTAAGACGAGAGCATCCAATTGTCGCCTCCATCGTCCCCAGGCTGCGGCGTCGAGGTGCCCACCCAAGAGATACTCTGCCACTCCCTGCTGTCCGATGAGAAGACAGAGAAGCGAGCCAGCTTCTGCTGCACACAGACCACACGGAACGACCTCTGGTCATCTTGGGAGAAGATGATGCGGAAATCAAGGCAGTGGAGGTCGCATGTCTCTTGGGGAGGGTAGGGGAAGATATACAGCGCCCGCTTGAGGGGGTTGTAGGCAGCTATCTGGTTGGTGTTCTTGTTGCAGAGGAAGACATAGCCGCAGCGGTGTCGCGGCAGCCATTGAGGATCTTCCACCTGGTCTCGTCTCTGTCTTTCGGGAGCCGGATGAAGCGGAAATCGCTGCCGTCGACGGCCGCGGCTAGGTAGCGGCCGTCGAGGGGAATAAGGTAATGAATGCCTGCGTTGAAGAATCCTAGGATTTGGGGCGGGTGGACCGCCCGGAAGCGGCGGCGGAAGGCGGGAGACGATCGGACGGCGTGGAGGAAGGCGCGGCAGGCGAGGGCTGCGCGGACGAGGCTAGGGAGGGATGGGAGGCGGAGGAAGATCTCACAGAGGACGTCGTCGCCGATAGCAGTAATGGCGGTGGTGGTGGCCACTGGTGCCGGCGACGGTGATGGTGGCCCTTGTTGGGAGGCCATGGCTTGTCAAGTCGGGCGGCGGCGGCAGATTTTTGGTTCGGGGGAAAGAGAAAAAGAAAAGCGCTACGCATGGGCCGGCTGAAGCATGGATCGAATCGGCCGCCTACAGAGTCGAGTCATTATTATAACCCACGCGTCAACAGTCGATTTTTCAGTTCGATATTGGATAGTTTAGCTGCGGTTTAGAGTTTGCAACATGCGTCGTATTGCGCTCGCTCGGGGTATGTAACAAGGTCCATATTACGCTCACCTAGAAGGTTTCTTCAGCTGTTGTTTAGGCTTTGCAACATGATAGTCATGTTGGGCTCATGGGTTTGCGATCCACGTTGCACTTGCTTTGTAACCCCGTTTAGTTGTGGTTTAGGGTTTGCAACACGAGCCATATTGCGAAGCTCTTTTACGACATAATTAATGCTGCAAAACTCCTTAAGTTGCAGTTGTGGCGTGGAGGACTGTTTGGTGTGGTCTCGCGTGAGGGAGGACCGAGGATGTTCGAAGGGGCGGGGAGAAGAGGGGGGATGCTCTAAACAGCGACAATACAGCTGGCCATCATTGCCACTTCCCGTTCGCAGAAATGGTTCCGCGCTCGCATTACCATACGTTTGCGGCAACACCAATTTGTCGTAGGATGCAACATGTAGTGGTCGCCGTCGTTCCCTCCGCTCAGCGGTGTTGGTTGGGTGGTTGCGTCTCCATGTAAAACCTCTCCTCTTGAGTGTGACAAATGGGGATGGAAAAAGAGACGGCTAGGGAGACGTTTGTAGGAAAGGCATTATGTAGAGAGATAAATCTGGAGGGGAATGGTGGAAGGGCCCACAGGGGCGCATGGGAAATAGGGTACATGGTTGACAGGAACAAGAGTATCAACCAGTGGTAGGAACATTTTGGAACTGATAATATACTCCAATTATTTAATCCCCGACTTTCTAGAACTGTTGCCTCTATCATAGTTTTAGAGGAGCTCTTAAAATAATTTTTGATATTTGAGGGTGTTGTGCTATTGCTTTTTTTTACAATAATACTACCTTTATGAATAAGTTGAGTCCACTCTTCAGTGTTACAAATAAATTCATCTTCATTGACCATAATATCTAACATTTTGTCGAACACCTTGTGGTCGTATGCCTCGTCCACTAGTAGAAAAAGGGTCAAATGTGAAGCACAATAGTGCCGGTTGGAATTTCAGCCGGCACTAATGTGTACACTAGTGCCGGTTCGTGGCGGCGATCTATAGCACCGGTTCGTGGCGAAGCTTTAGTGCCGGTTCATGCCACGAACCGGTACTAAAGAGGCTGTGTCAGCCTGCGGTCAGGCTATGGCCCCACCACCACCATTTAGTGCCGGTTCGTACCACGAACCGGTACTAATGAGGTTATGGCAAGCTGTTTTTTAGTCCCACCTCACGAAGTGAGAGGGACTAGGAGCGGTTTATAAGCCCTGAGTGCAGAGACGATGAAGAAGAGGCTCAATGCTCACGTTGCTTAGCTTCAAGCCTTCAGGAATACGGTAGACTGCATGAAGCTATGCGCAGTGCAATTTACACTATTCCGAATGGCTTGAAGCAAATTAACAAGCATTGCACCTCTTTTTTATTTTTAATAACTTATTACAACTCCGGACTTCTTCTGTTATGGCAAAAACTAATTGCACGTCGACATTTCTTTCTTTTAAGTTATAACTCCAGACTTTGACCATCAAGTTTTGCAGAAAAGAAAAAATAGCAGAAAAGAAGAAAAACTATAGCTGAAAAGAAAAAAAACAAAATAAAAAAACTACTCAGAAATAAATAGAAGAAAATAAATGTAGCAGAAAAGAAAAAACTATTCAGAAATAAATAGAAGAAAAAATAAAGCAGAAACGAAAAAAATTATATTTGCTATTTTTCAATCGTTTACAAAATGACCATGAAATTGAAAATCACTACAAAATGAACTCTGAAAATGTTTAATTTCGGCAAACTAGATGAAAAACTACTCACAAATAAATAGAAGAAAATAAATATAACAGAAAAGAAAAAACTATACAAAAAACTACGCAGAAATAAGAAGAAGAAGAAGAAGAAGAAGAAGGAGAAGAAGAAGAAGAAGAAGAAGAAGAAGAGGAGGAGGAGCAAGAAGAAGGAGAAGA